TTTGGGTGTACTCATGAGAGGACCACTGGTCTCATTGAGTGTCTTGGAAACTTCAAGTGTTGTTTTGAACCATTGCTCTCGACTTGATTACTACTTTCCTTTTAACCAAATAAAAAACATGTTACTACTAATTATTGGGTTGATTAGTAATTTGACATAATTAATTTAGTAATCACAAAACGTGATACTTGAAGAAGCAACATACTTGTATAGCACATCTACTTTTAAGTATTTGTTTACTCAATATATCTTCATGTCTAATTAAGCTAGCTGTATGAAAATGAGCATGGGTTCTGAGGATGATTGATCTATGCAGATATTTTTCCTCTCGTTGCTTTTTAATCATGTCTTTTCCTTCCAATTTATGAAGAAAAGTTTGATGCATGCACATTGTTCTTGGATATAAATATACATATACATATATATATATATATAGACACACACACACATATATATAGACACACACACACACACACACATACCGTTCTGATTCATTTTGCACCAGCTGAAATGTTTTCGTTGTGAATTTGTTGATAACCCACTATCCCTTTCCTGCATGCTTCACAAATTCAATGGGGAAGTAGGGCATTTTTTTATGAATTACGAATGATTTATTAAGCAACTGTTGTACTTAACAGATCGAAAAGGTATCAAGAGTCTGTAGAATCAGGACATTTACAAACAAAACAAGAGACCCGTGCGGAGTTAGAACATATATATATAAAAACTAATAAGTTGACAAGTGAAGTTAACGAAATTTGGTTTGAATTCAGTAAAACATTGGTGCAATGGAGCTGTAATGAATCCTACATAACTAGCTACAAAGACCAAACCAAAAGTAATGCTACACCATTGTGAAAAGGACATAATTGAGGACGTTGGGGGATTAATCATAATATGGCCATTTAGGGAAGACCTAATGATTTAAAGATAAGCACATCATTTCTTGCATCTAAATTCAACATGAAAAAGCCCTCCACCCAGAGTGCTGTCTCCTTTTTTACTTTGCAGAATATAAAACACACACTACAAACTACATATGCATACACACACACCTGCTCATATATAGATATTAATATATATAAATAAATATAGCAAGCATATGATACCCTTTCTTCACTCAAACAGTTGCTTGAATGTGCCAATTTCTTGGTGTCAACGAAGATCATTATGATTGGACATGTCTGCTTTCATCATTTTCACCCTTCGCTTTCCTTGTTTTTCCTCTTACAATTTATACCTTTCAGGGGAGAAAATCACGTGCTAAAGCAAAGCAGCAACGATCGAGGTCACAAATAATCTAGCACACAAACTTTAGGAGAAAAACCTGACCATTCAGCCTTTTGGGTTTCATTTACAAATCTTTGTTCATTTGGTTTCCCTCTAATATAATCATTGCACTTAATTAAAGCAGGTTAAATCTTTCTATAATCTACAAAGCTTCTTTCACTCTTTCGAGAGGTGGAAGTCAAAGTGTCCTCTATATATATATAGATGTTGTCAAGGCATGGCTCGGAATTCGTCCCCCGTCCTGATTGATTTTGTTTGGTAAATCGTCATTATTATATATGAGACTCTATAATTAGACCCTAAGAACTATACCCTTAGCTAGGTATAAGCAGCCTCCTGTAAATAAAACAGTGAGTTGTTAAAAGCTTTCTTTTAATTGTTGATAATTAAGTGGGGAAATTAATCACCCAAAGCTCAAGTGGTAATTAAGAGCAACTGCGTATGACTAGCTAGGTTCCTTAATAAATGTAAGCCAGTAACTGTCTCTAGCTCAATTTAGAGGGGCATGTATACATAGATCATAAATCTGGAAATCAAACTTTTCCTACCCTAATAAAATATATATATTGGATGAGCAACAGCATGAATTAGCTTAGATTTTTGAATCCCCCCCCCCCAAAAGGAGGCTCCGACAGATTTTTTGAGAGCAAAGAGATATTAATACTAATTGAGTAACATTTCAGCCAACAATTAGCTAGTTTGTCTAAGAGAATTAAGTAGAATGTATAGGATAAGGCTTTTAGGCTGTTAGCTGGTGCCTCTCAATATATTGAGGAGTAAATTTCAAAAGTCCGCCCTGATCTACTTATATCTGGTTAATTACATCTTCCATATACATATCTTGTGATTTTGCAACCTTGTGTATATATCACATCATCAAGATCTTGCTTGATGAAAAAATAACACATCTTTGAGGCTCAGTTTATTTCATAGATTAGTTTATTTTTATGCTGTTATTCAGGGTTTGTATAACTTCAAATATATATAATATTTAGCAGGTTATGATGCACACTGATTTCATTGACGCATCTATACAAAT